TCCGATTTTGCTGTTCTTAAGTTCATTATATTTGAAAGAATGTGTTGGGTTTCCGTCAGCCTACGACTTGAGTTAGTCTGAACTGGAAGATTTCAAAATCTTCCAAGCTGCCAACTTCAGGTCAGGCGCTGCAGCGTAGCAGCCTTCCTGCTATCTTTTCACGCTGGAAACAAGTGTGTTGAGAAATGCGCGCTCTGCACGTGTTCATGGGAGCGCAGTGGCCTACATTTTTGTGCAGTGAGTTATATGCTGCCTGTTGAATGGGATATTTTTTTTTTCCATTAGAATTTGTGGGATGAAAAGAATTGTTGGCAAGTGCTAAAATATTTCCCCCCCTGCAAAAGTACTTGATTTAATCTAGTTCCATAGAGACTTTGTAAGGGAGTAGGTAGTCTTCTGCACAGTTCGGCAGGACTAAATTGTCACTGGTGACTCGTTACCAAATGAAGGTGGTCTTCATTGCTCAGCGGACGGATATTTGCCTCGCCACCCAAGCAATCTGTGATGGAACTTCCTGGCTGAGAATCAGGTGGGATGTAAAGGCAGTTACACCTGACACTTCTCTGGAGGTGATGGCAGAGCTGTCACCGAGTGTGTTTAATGTTGTATTTGCCTGAACTGCACTGACCGGGTACATAGATGTCAGCTTTTGTACTGTTTCTGGCCAATGCCATAGACTTTTCTGAGTATTATTTTTGCTTTAAGGGGATGAGGGAGCAGAGGAAAAAAAATGCAGTCATAGTTCTTGCTTCGTGGGTTGGTATGGCATCCCTGGCTTGACATTTGAACTCTTTCAAAGTTTAATCTTACATTTAAGACTAGTAATGAAGTTTATTAAATTCAGTTCTCATGAAAGCCGTAACACTAAAATCGGGCTGTGGAATACAATGCTTAGTTATTAATAACTAAATAATTTGGAGCAGGGAAGGCTCTCCCGATCAGTCACAGTAACTGCATTCCTCGAAGTCACTGGGATGTGAGATGACATAAGAGTAAGAAATCTGGAATACCTTTGAAAGAAATGACTCGTACGTTGCTTTCAATGTTTGTGCTGGACTTGTTTGGGTTTTTTGTGGACTCTTAAATATTTGAGATGTATCAAATTCCTTTTTCAAGTGAATGCTGGGGCTTTGAGATGGTCTGTCCTGCATCTTCTGCACCATGCTTCGAGTGAGTGGATTAGTTTATGGATCATAGGTGGTGACTGATCTGTCCAGCTGCTCCTAGGCAGGGTGGCTTTTCTTCTGTGGCATTTTGGGGTGGGGGGTGAGAGAGGGACCATGTTTGCTCCCCTTTTGAGCGATGGGATCAGAAAATAAGCAAAGCTGCCTGTGCTTTGAACAAAAATGGATTTCTATCAGACTGTCCTTAAGTCTTGTTCTTATTGACAAAACAGCGTCTTGCCTTGGTTCTTACCCTCTCCTGTTCTCCTTGGCAGTCTCATTTTCAGTACAACGCATGTGTTTGCAGCACTTACTGGCTCCCTCTTCATACACATGCTATCCTTCTTGTAACCTGCCATATGTACTGCCTGAATCTGAATTTCTGGGAACGCTATGACGAGGAAAGGCTGTGGCTTGGTAAGCCTGTAGCGTGCCATCTTGGGTACCTTGAAAGTGGATGAATATCCTGAGACTTACTGACAGTCAACATGCTGTATGTTTAAAATTCCTTTCTATTATCAGGCTCTAACTTCTAATTTCTGTGGGGATGGAGGGGTCTTAAGACTTACTTTTCTTTATCCCCTTGCAGAGTACTTTTTCAGATCATCCTCGAATAGATTTAGGGCTTTGCAATTACTCCAGTATTTAGGAAAACCACCTGTGACATGAAATGTAAATGGTTGTGGATGGCTTTGCTACTTCCTACAGAGCTCTGGGGAAATGTCTGTTGCGCAAACTCAAGTATTCTGCTCGACGAATGGGAAGAGTAGCAGAAGTACTAGAACTGTCTGAAGGGCCAGATGACAGAGCCTATTATTTTATATCCTGCTAATACCTAGAATTGGTTATTTTATTGGTTGCTGTTCTTTTGCAGGACAGCATGGAGACCTTCTTCCCAGAAGCTAGGCCCTTTCTCTTGAAAGCTGAATTCTGCAGATATTGGTGTTTGAGGCCTGCTGTAACTAAGCAAAGAAGCTTCATATTTAAAAGTGTTCTGGTGTTACGCTATTTTTAAAGAGCGTTGAAGGTATAGGAGGACAGAAGTGCAAGGTATAAGAAAACATGTATTCCTCACACAACTTTGGGTTATTTTGTTCGGTTTTCTTGGCTTTACCAGTACAATTTGTAGCTCAGGTTTGTACCGTGTCCTTCAAAGTGTTTGTTTGGGAGCTTTATTTTGGAGAAATTAGGTGCAGAAACAGTTCTGTGGTAGTGATGCTTTTTTCCAGTGTGTTTCAGAGCTTAGTAAAATGGATGTGTTGGGTTTAGAGGAAAAAAAAAAAGGGGGGGGGGGGGGGGGGGGGGGGGGGGGGGGGGGGGGGGGGGGGGGGGGGGGGGGGGGGGGGGGGGGGGGGGGGGGGGGGGGGGGGGGGGGGGGGGGGGGGGGGGGGGGGGGGGGGGGGGGGGGGGGGGGGGGGGGGGGGGGGGGGGGGGGGGGGGGGGGGGGGGGGGGGGGGGGGGGGGGGGGGGGGGGGGGGGGGGGGGGGGGGGGGGGGGGGGGGAAAAATTAAGACTGACATACAGCGGGACAAAAGCAGTGGCTAGCAGTACATTACTCAAGGTCATTTAGTCAGATAAGGGCTAGGTCTGCTTACTTTTGCTGTGTTTTAACTTTTGTGCTTATCTCCCTGCTGAACCTTGAGTAAAAACTGAGGTTCCCATTTTAAGTTGAGTATGAGAAGTTAAAGCGTATTTTTAACTGCTGCATCTCCTTAAAAAGCTCAACTCTTAATTTTGCAGGGTATTTTTTCCCACTGTAGTGAGGTGGGGTGTTGTCTGCCTGTAATCCGGTGGCAGCTGGGAGGCTTTAGAGATAAGGGTGCAAGTTTAAATAAAGCGGGGGGGGCGGGAAGAGGAAAATATCCCAAAAGGTGATAATGTAAAAATTGCTTTGATTCTCTTACTTTGCCCTTTACTTGGAGGGTTCTGTGCCAGGGTGATAATTGTGTGCTAAGCGTGAGTAGGGGTTTTGCAAAGCTCTCCTGCTCTGGGAGCGGACAGCCTTAGTGCCGGTGATCTGTTCATGCACACCTTTGTGCTTCATGCTAGCTTCCTTTTGTAGGCCAGCTTCTGCTGTCCACAGGCAATTTTTTTTCTTTCCCTTGAGCGTGTGGTGTGTGCTTTCAGCTCCAAACTGTCAGCTAGCAGTTTCCACAATTTACAGATTTTTTTCAAGTAAAAAACTACTAACAGAAAGACAGTTCATAAAGGGCATGTTAAAATCAAATGTTCCGACACATGCCAGGGTATGTTATACCTGACACTGTTCCTTTTGGCATATGTTTGTAAGTTATTATGTGAATGCTGTTAATGGATTGTTATAAAATATATTTTTAAATTTATTTTTCAGCATTGAAGTAGTTGGGGAAACATCTGTGCTCTTTGTACCTTCATTAAAATCCTCTGCATTCCAAACGTAGGGGGAAAGCATGTGGGCAAAGGGCTGGAACTGTGGATGCAGTACAGTTTTCAACAAAAAAGCAAGGCATCACCCGGTACTCCCTAGTATGGAGTGGACAAGGGGTAGTCTGTGTTAATGCTTTCAGAATCAGATTTCTACAGGCTTATTAGTTTTTGGAGATGTTGATATACAAGGTGTTTGTCGTCAAAGCTTTGCTACCTGATCACTGTGCTGGTCCTGCAGGAAGACTTTATTCTGTAGCTCCTGGCATTTCTGACACAACAAAATTGTTGACTTCCTAAAAGAGAACAGGAGGGAATGGACTATGAGAAGAAAATGGTCAAAACTTGGAGCCCTTTTCATGCAGGGCATTGAAGAGAATGTTTTCTATTCTCTTTCTAAAAGCAGTGCCCTCAATCTTTCAAGATTATTTCAAATAGCTTTTTTTTCAGTACCCCGTGGTTCTGAATCTTTGGCAGTTGTTTATTCCACTGCAGCAGCCGATAGTGTCAACAGCCAGAGTTACTGTAGATGTCTTTCTGTTGCAGTAAAACTCAAATTTTAGAAACACCTTTAGTTATATTTGTCATTTGCCCTTGTCTTCATTTTAAAACATATCTGTGTAAAATGCTCTTTCTTCTGTTCCTGTTGCTTATTCTCTGGTGAAATCCCAGTTATAATAGAGTGAGATCAGACTCCTAGTAAAGATCCTATTCAATTATTTTCTTTCTGCTGGAAAAGGAAGCAAACGCTGTAGAATACACTGTGCTTTATATTTGTTCTGCAACTACTTTGTTCTGCACTTGCTTATTATAGCAGAGTACTTTATGTAGACAAAGGGTGCTGTGAGACTGCAGTTTGCCTGTCCCTGAAGGGGATATTAGCTCGGATGCAGCACCGAAGTAATGCACCTGTATGTTTCTAGAGTGGGCTTACATCAGTTAGCTTGGAGAGCAGGTGAAAGAGCTCGCTTCTGTCAGCGTCTATCTGTGTAGATGTCTCCCAAGTGTCATTAGAGACGAGCTTAACTTTTTACTTTTATTAAGTGGTGGTTAGGTCTCTCTCTCACCTAGTTTATTTGCTTACCTTAGTCCCCTTACTGTGATACCTGGCTGTCTCCTCTTTCCTGTAAATATCCTCCTTGCACCCTGGCTTGGCAGGGAATGACTGTTACCCTTCTCTAAGGGATGGAAGCAGAGGCACGAGCAGCGTTAGTCGTGTTCGTGCTGTATTGACCGCTGCAGGAAATGGAAACTAATTCTGGGCTAATAGTTTGCCTGCTGGCTTATTCTTTGTACAGTAAACACAGGGTGATCCAGTCTCTTTGAGAAGGAGTTCCCAAACCTGTCCTTGTGCTGTGTAGTTTCACATTCTTCTCCCTCCACTCCCCCCACTGGTGTGCGAGTAGGCATTTCTATGTATCTGGATGTGCGCGGATGCAGAAGGAAGCATGTGTCCTCCTACACGGCTATGGTGGTGGCAGCTTCTCCAGGATGAAGTTGGTGAGCTAGTTTGAACTCTCTTCTTTGCAAGATTTAGCTTGTCAGCTGTCCATTGAGTGAACAAACCTGAATATAACATCCCAGGGAGTAAATACCTACTTGCGATCAGGAAGAGGAAGTGGGTGAATGCGATCTTAATTAAACAAATATTAAAAGCAAGCAGAAAACTGTTTACTTTACAAATGAAGCACTACTGTCTTGGAACTGTTACAAAACCACCTATATAGAAAATAGCTGAGAGAAGACTGGGCTGGGGTAAATGCCTTATTGGAAGAAAGAGTGTTTAGCTGTGGTCGCTGAAACTTCAGGTATGCTAATCATGCTTTTATCCCCTGTTTGTATAGATTGCTGCTAAAATTGGAGATATTCCTCACTTGAATAATTCCACAACACTTGTGGACCCATCAGTCTACGGTTATGGAGTGCAGAAACGGCCCCTGGATGATGGAGGTAAGCTGGCTATGATAAGTCAATCTTGTGGATGCGGCTCCTGAAATTCATCTATGGAGGCAGTTGTCTGCTTTAAGGACAGAAATCAGTGCATCTTTCTGTGTATATAAATTTTATACAAGATTCCCTGTGGTGTTTAGTCTTATCTAGGTAGCACAGGGCTCCTAGGCATTAATATTATTAATGTGAAGCAATTCTTTCTTAGTTCATGAACTTTGGGAATTCGCAAATGAACTCTGTAATTTAAATCTTGTTCTCTGGTAGCTGGGGGGAGGGAGGAGGATGTGCTTATTGGAACTGTGCTGGAGCCCATGTATAGAGTACCAGATGTACATAGTAAAGCTGTTCTTCCCTGATGACCCTTATTTTCTGAGAGCAGGCAGTGTATAGGGACAGTATTACATGTGCTCCTTTCCACGTGTAGCAGTGGTCACAGCACAGTTGTTGAGTCACTGTCAAGAGTTCTGATTGCTTTGTACATGAATTTTAAGGAGAAAGGGTATTGATGTAGTTGATGCAAGTTGGAAGGAAACTTCCTGTATTAGGCTTAGCTTTTTTCCTAATTATTCTTTGAGAATTCTTAAATCTCTGAAGCATTTAACATTGGCTGCAGCCAAAGAATAATTTACTGGGTGGACCATATCTGGTAACTGTAATGAGTTAATATTGTATGAAGTGTTACAATTTTAAAATAGGTTATTAGTTTCTTATCTTTGGTGGGAACAACAAAAATGTTAGAACAGGTGTTTTCTTTTTTACAAACCTAATGATGTGCACTGTTACAAGAAGTGTTTAAACTGTATTATCTGCTGCTGTACAGATGCAAAGAGCTCACCTTTTCCTGTGGTTGGTTATAAAAAAAATGTTGCTATGTCTTCCTTTTCCTATTTCCTCTAGTATTTTTACCGACACAGGTAGTCCTGCAGGGTGATTCTCTCCCCCACAGATATGTTCAGGAGTACTGAGGAGATAAGCAAAGCTGCTGCCTAGCACTTCATTTTGAAAATAATTTTTTCTGTCTGATACAAAGCTGTGTGAGGCAAAGGCTGAAAATACTGCACTTCTGCTCATTCTGCAAAAACGTGCTGGAGCACAGGGAGAAGTTTCATGTGGAGCCTCTGGCTTGCTAATGCTAACGTTACTGTTTTCTGAACGCATGCCACAACCCACTTTGTTCTCTGGCGTTGGCTCTGTTTGAGCAAGAGGTTGCTGCTCCTTTGGTTCAGTGTTTTAGGAAAGACTGGGTTTACCTGGGTGAGCCCCTGCGCCTTGTATCTCGGGCTGGAGCATCACGATGTCTGTGAGAAGCCAGAGGCCTGGTATTACTGGTACGTGTCGGTTTCTGTATGGGAAGGTGCTCAGCTGTCGAGCAGGCTGTTCGGCATTGAAGAATGCTGAACAACTTTGAGCTGTGTCTGAATGGCTTAGATAAGTGGTTATACGTGAAAAAGAATAGCCTTCTAGGAACTAGGCATTCGTAACATTAGTCTTAGCTATTTCTTTCACTGATTCATCAGACTGAACTGGGAAATCTGATCTCTTGACAAAATGGGTTTTTGTGAACTTCTAACATGTGAAACGGTTGTAGCACTTAATGATGGCGCAAGTTAAACTTTGTACTTAAACTTTTACTGGTGAACCCTATTACTTGCTGAGCCTTGTTTGTGTTGACACAAACCATGTCAATACAGTTGGGGTCTGGGCTATAAATGTACGTTACTGCTGGTTTCTTGTGCTGTGATAGGTAACTCCCTGGAGCAGGTATCGTTCCTGGGAGAGCCTTCCAGAGTGGCTGTACTCTTGAGTGTTGTATTGGCAATTGATTTGCTGATGTAAAGACCTACAGGTGTTTGCTCGTCCTGGGTGCTTGTTCAGCACTGGGCCTTGTTTGTAACTGTTTTTAAAGTAGCTCCAAGTGCTGTATTTGCCCTTGGGTTCTTCATATACATCTGTAGATGTTATAACGTTGTCCAACTCCCTTCCCAAAAATCTGATCTGAGATTTTAGAGGAGAGGAGAAATGACACAAGTAATATTTTAAAGGGCTGGAATTTCACAAAGAAAACACAGTTGTGAGGGTAGGAGCAAGGGTTGTATCGCTTCTTTCAGCTTTGGTCATCTTGGGTTTTATTTCTAATGGCATTAGTAAATCCTGTACTGAAATACAATTGTGTGATGAGTTCCCCACCTAACCACATAATCCTCCTGCACTGCTCTTTAACCACAAACCCAGAACTGCAGCCTGGCGAAGGAACTCCTGAAGCAGCGAATGCTTCTTGCTCTGTATTTGTTTGTGGTATGATCCATACCTTAGTCTTAGGCTACCTACTCTTGCTGCAATGGCATTAGAAGTCTATAATACAGCTTTGGCTTTAGGCATCTGGAAGATGGCAGTTGCTTTTAATAGGACACTTAAATTAGGAAAGCACTTCCCATTTGGATGATCTTTTCGTTCTCTGTTAGCTGCGAACAAGGGATGTCGGGATTGCGTGCCCACACTTCTCACCATTTTCTGCTTGTCTGTGAACCACAGTTTGGAGACGTTGTCAAGAAGTGATTATTTATATTGTTACGCATGCTCTAGAAATTTTATAGTGTGGGGGTTTATATACATTCTGCTGCTCTGGATAGCTTGAAAACAAATCTGGTGGTAAATCTTTTGATTGTTTTCTTCTGTATACTGTGTGTTCACAGCTGGGTGCAATTCTTACTGCTTCTTTATCCCTGCGTAGCTGTTAGAAAATTACTTCTGTTCCTAATGCTCCTGAAAAAATTCGGTTCAGGGGAAGTATTTAAGGTGACAAGAAAACTGTCTGTCTTTCAGGAAAATCTAATTCTGCCTGTCCATTTTTGTAAACGGCTGCTGGTGTGGCTGATTGATGTCAGCTTAGGAAGCGGTCTTAAGACAGGGTGGCAGCGTGCTGGTCAAAACAAATTCAGCTGCTTTTAGAGCATTTCCAGGAAAAATAGATCTGTCGTAGTGTTGGAAACCAGAATGCGTGAGTGGCTCTTGCACTTCCCTTAACACAACCTTCATCTGAAACGAAGAGCTGCTAGGATTGGCCCTGGTGACCTGGCCTTTTGGTATTAGATGGAGCTTGAGACTGATTATTTCTCTTTTCCCCGGCTTCTTTATTTCCCCTTTCTGGAAACAACTTTAAAGTAATCCTGCAAATAGCTGTAGTGCAGGGAGAAGATCAGGTTTATTTGTACTGCTCACAGTAAGTCGCAGTCAGCATTTATGTGGCCACTTGCAGCAGTTAATGTTTCTCAGCGAAAGTGAGCACTAGAGATGAGGTTAGCTCTGAGCTGCAGAGAAACCTGGTGGCATCTTGCTTGTGGCTCGCTGCTGAGGATAGATCCCAGCCCTCCTGTTAATGGCCAACGGCTGCTCCTGGCCTCCATTCTAACTAATGGGTCCTTCTAATTACCATCACAATTTAGTAAGTTTATTTAATGCTAAATAATCTTTAAAGAAGCAGCCTCCTTGTTCAAAGGAAGCAGGGATTTTTTTTCCAGTCTGCTGGAAAGAGACTGATTGCCAGAACGTTAGCCTTTGCTTGCCCTGTTTTGGACTGCTTTGAAGAAGTTTCCAGTGATGTATGTAGGGTTAAGCAGCAGTGTTGCAGCGGAAGGCTGGGGCATCCTTTGAGTCTGGGGAAACAAAGATGAGAGACCTTGGAGAAGCCTCGCACCCCCCTCTCTCCATTCCATGCCTTCCCTGAGCTTCTGTGGTGCATCCAAATATGAAGATGGCCTGTTCTGGTGCAATAAAACTTGATTGCAGTAGAGCCGAGGGGCTGAAACACAACGTGATCCTGTTGTACAGAATACTTTATTCTTTTGCTCCAACGTGTTTTCAGTGAAAATAGCGATGGGCAGAAGGAAATCTTATCCCTGTCTTACTGATGATGAAAGCTAGTAGTGATGCTCCTTGACACATTTGTAGCAGCAGTAGGACCAGGGCAAAAGTCCCTATCTCTTGGCAAAAGGTTTAGTGTAATACACAAAATCCCAATGTTCTTCAAATCTCAACTTTACAGATCACCATTTTTTAAACAAGGCAGTTTAAAGGAGGGGAAAAAAGCCTATAAAGATTTGCAGTGAAGGCAGACACGAAAATTACTGGGTTTTGACCATTTAATTAAAGAAAAACCTAACAATATTTAATGATGAAGAATTAGGGTAACTAATGTCTTCCTTGTAGCTTTCTAAAATTAATGATGATCCCATTTTAGTTCAAAAGTATGAAATGCAACCCTGTTCCGCTGCTCTCCAGGAGATGTGTCGCTCTGATTTTATTCTGACCATGAAGACACTCTTGATAAGATTGTATATTCCCATCATGCACATTAATTTAGTGGGAGGCACTGCTCTGTTTTATGGGGTGGAAAAAAAATCCACACTTGTTTTGAGTGTCTGTTAGGTAGAATTCAGTTAAGGTGAAGCCTAAAGCAGAGTGAAGAGTTATCAACCAGCAGGTGCCATTAATAGGAAATTGTGCTTATTTTATTCAGTATTTTTCCTTATTTGCAGTAAAATGACTGCAGTTACAGTTAAATTGTACTCAATAGATGTAAAAGGGGGAAATATGTACGTGGCTTGTCAGAGTTCAGCCCCTTCCCTGGCGTGAAGAGGGAGATGGTGGAACAGAACATCAGCTTTCAGTACTGCAGAGAGCATGGTCTGCCCCAGCCCTACCTCTCTATTAGTCCCTGTCTTTCAGAGCAAAATGGGCATGCTGGAGAAGGAACAGACCTTTAGGTTGTTGGAACCGGGAGCAATGTCGTTTCTTTTTTCCCCTCAAAACAGAGAGAAGTCATAATTGACTTCAAGTAAATCGCTCCCAGTTCTCTCCGTCTGCCTTCTCTCTCAGCTCATGGAGAGGTTATTTGTGAAGTGTGGAAGGAATGATCTTGCACGCAAGTTATTGTGGCTTAATTTTTTTAACTGATTTGTACAATAAATATACAGTAAGGCTGATATCTGCCTGGGGTGGTTAATGGCTTACTATGTTTGTGTAGTACTTGGAATGGGTTGGAGACATTATGTACATCTAAAGCATTATTTCCCTGACTGTGCTTCTTGTGCTCGTACAGTTTTTCCCTAAGAAGTTGTCTTTTTCAAGTGTAGGATTGTGTTACAAAATGAAGGCTCTTCCATTCCTTTCGTGAACTTCGGGAGTTGATTATAGGATGTGTATCTGTCTCATAATTTGTGGGCAGAGGCTGCAGTGGAACAGACTGTTAAGAGAGCTGTTACGGTGAATTGAAATGCGAAGTGGATATTTAAATACAGCCTTGTAGTGTTAAGAGCACTCTTCCTGGCATCTGAGGATAATGAGTGGCCTGGTCTGTGGCGAGGGCAATCCCATACTACAGCAATAGCCACCACACCTATTGCACATAGTAAAAATATTCGGAGCACAGTTTGGGGCAAGATGGCGAGATTCTGAATTGGTTTGGTCGTATTTGCTCAGCTCTGCAGTGGTAGCTTATCATCTAGAGCAAATATTCCCCGTTACATCACCCACGATTTTCAACTGCAGTGTTGATAGTTATCAAATTAGGGCTTTTTATATTCAGGGTGAGAATATGCAAAGACAAATCTAATGGAGTCAATAATGCAGCAGTTGTCTTATTGCTGAGCTGGGGAGAGTAATAAAATATATATACTGTCGATATTTTGGTCCTGAACTATTATGAAGGTATTGACACACAGCAGAAATACAGTATTGACTCTCTTTGTCTATTTTATTTGAGTAAAGTGTTTGGCCACAAACTTTATGCATTTTTCTACCGGATTTAGAGAGTGTGGGATGCATCCGCTTTCCAACCCTGCCAGCTGATTGCCAATTTATTTCAGGTCAAAGAATGTGCAGGTTGCTGCAAGGTAGTTTGAAACAGCATCTGTATTATCACAGCTCACATGTTGGCCGGTTTCATTTGTTTTCACTACTTGTGCCCTCCAGGCATGCAATATAATCTTTCAACTGGTTGTTAGGACCAAATGGTCTGGTTTTTAGCTGGTTTGCTGCAGGCGAAGTCCAGTAGGAAGCCCAGCAGGGCATGTGTTCCCACTTTGCATGAGTTGGTCTAATGATATTTTCCCCATTAACATTTGGAAGAAAGATCTAATCTGGGGGGATTGGGGGGGAGAAATCTGTTTGAGGGTTGTCAGCTGGGGAGATAACTGCTAGTCATAAATGGACCACCAACTAACATCGGAGATATGCCTGGAATGTGTGTATTCAGTAAAATGTGGGTGGTGGGGTTTTTTAATACTGTTTGGGTGCCACAAGGTTACTTAACAGACCTATTCCTTTAACAGGTCTCCGTGTAAGTGGGCTCCATGGAGCACAGATAAGAGACACAGAGAGAAGTATGTGCAAGTGGTCTTTAATACTTTTCGCCTAGACTAAATCTCTTGAGTCTGCTCAGCTTTTATTTTTGTTTTTTAATACATACCAGTCTGCTTGAAATTTCTCTTCTCTCCCCTCCCTCCCCCCGCTTTTTTCCTTTTTTTTTTTTTACTACTTTGGGCTTAATTTGGGAAGGGGGAGGTTAGTTGCAGGGATTTGGATTTGGGCAGGCAGGATTTTCTCCCATGACTCTCAGCATGGGGAGACACAGATCAATTCCCTATCCTGTGTTCAGCTGGACACTGGGTTATGGTGTGTGTTGATCAAGAAATCCCCTCCTGTTTTGTACCACATAATGCATTCATTTCAGCCACTGAACCTAAATTACTGTTTTGCTTTTCTTTCTTTTTTGATGAAATGGTAAGAACTCTTTTTCTATAGGGATGAAGTTAGTTTATCCGTGCTAATGCTTTGATTTTTTTTCCTTTTTTCTCTCTCTGCCACAGTAGGTAACCAGTTAGGGGCCCTGGTACATCAAAGGTAAGCAGTGGGTTATGTTTTATTATTTATTGATCAATTCTAATTGTTTATTGATCCACCATCTGTAGTAGTGTTAGGAAGTCAGAGGTTGAGAATGTGGAGAAACTGTCAGCTTACGTTTTCTCCAGGCTGGGGTTTCTGCTAACCCTTTAAGGCTGTTTGTTGTGATGAAGAAAGAAGAGTTGATGTGAAACTTGGATTTGGTTCCTGAAAATCTGCAGGACTGAGCAGAATAAATTCTCTCTCCTCTCCCTTCCCCTGATCTGGAGGGGGGGAGAAAGAAAAAGTAAAAAAAGCTCTGGCACTTTGACAGAATTTGGAAGTATTAAGTGGGCAGGCAGATTTTTTTAAATGTATTTATTTTTATTTGTTTTAGTTTTGTTGGTGTAATATGACCTGGGATGACTCCTTTGTCAAAGATGGTTTTGGGAGACTGGAGCAAGTATGAGTTGTTGTGCAGCATGTCTTAGCATCTAATACAAACGTAAAATTCTCAGTTTTTCTCAGATCCTGCTCTTAAGGAGCTGACTGTCTTGCTTTGGGTAGGAATGGGAGAGCATTTCTAAAGCTGGATTCACCTTCAGCTTTAGTAACACCTAATAGTAACGCATTTCTATCATAACCAGCTGTTTGTTGAGGGCTTCAGCAGAAAGGACAAGCAATATGCATAAAGACTGTAGAACCTTCAATTTTTAATGGTTAGGTTAAAGCTAATGTCCGGCTAGGGCAGCACAGAGAAGGGTGGGCAGCGTTGTCTGCTCTGCTGCTACCTGCCACCTCTCTTCCACCAGGAGTGATGTTCATGTAGGGAATTGATTAGGCTGAAAAGCCTGAATTGGTTTCTTTCTGTGGTTTTGGTGGTTGGTTTTCTGCTAGGTTAGCTGCAAGCGTTCCTCCAACACAGGGTGGTTAACAAATGATGCAGGATAGGACGTTTTGGCAACAGGCTGGGTTTATTCCAGGTTAAAACAACTGTAATTCTGAACGTCCCTGTTCTGTTGTGGGTATGGATGGCACTGTTTGGTTTTGCATCTCTGCTGGTGAGCCTCAGGACAGTGGACAGTACTTTATCTGCAGGTTAGCTGGTGAAGTCTACTGTGTATTTTATACCTTCCCTAGCTGATCTAAAGCAAAAAATGGGAAGATTTTAATATACCTCACCACAAAACCTGCATTGAACTTATTATGCAGGTGTTTCATTGCTTTTGAGATTGCTGAACAAATTGTATATAATGCATATCTAAATATATGGAGTTTGCAAATTCCATATTCATTGTGATGTATTTTCTACAAGATAGAAATGGCTAAGCAAAAAACCATCCAAGGTAGTTCCTTTCTACTTGACTATGGTCGGGTCATAGGAAATTGCTTCGGGTGCTACGTTTTGAGGCAGAGACACATGAAAAAAGTCCAAAGGGGGCATTCATACCAGGATTGGCTTTGGTTAGTGTCTCTTGGCAAGAGCATATCCAAAAGTAGTAGGCAGAGACTGCGGCTTGGAAGGTCTAGGCTAAATATTAAAGAAACTTTGCCATTATTCTGTTAAATCTGTCTGGAGCAAGAATGACAAAAAGAGGTTCTTCCATCAGCTCCATTGAAGATAGTGGAGAGTAGACTGGAAATGTGTCCAGCAGAGGAGAAATTAGGTGACCACGAGAGGTCCCTTACAAAACAAATTATTTTGACCGTGATGTGGTGTTCACTTGTGTGTACAAAAGCCTTAAGCTGTGCCTGGCTTCCACGGCAGGGACATAGTTGTCTTCCAAATTGTTCTTTGTAATGTCTATTTGATTTTTTCTTACTTTTTTTTTTAGGGCTGTAATAACAGAAGAGTTCAAAGTGCCTGATAAAATGGTTGGATTTAGTAAGTACCTTGGATGCTTTTGATGTTTCTTGATGTGTTTTCTGTGCAGGAATGCTGTTTATTCTGACGTGTTCACAAGTTTTTGTGCTTACTAGCCTTGGATAAGCCTTGCATAATGCTGTCTTCACGGGGACCAGATGATCTGTGTTTAAAATCCAGGTGCAAACTGCATGGAAGAGCTTGGTGTCCCAGTAATAAGAACAAGACTGTGTGGTACAAGCTACTGAGAGTTTTAGTGATTCTCTCCTTTAAATTCCCGCTAGCATAGTACATAAACAAGTCAAAAGTGAATTTATTTCCCCTCACTGAAACATTTTACTTCCTTTGAGTATGCAAAACTGTGAGAGTTGAGGGAGGAAAACAACATTTAAATGTTAAAATAAGAGTTGACTCAAGGCAAGTTAAACAGAATTTTAAATCTTTCATACATTTGCTGCAGGGAAACGCAACCAGCAGGCATTGCTCAGATGAGAATTTTTCCTAGATTTGCATTCCTGATACTGTTCTCTTTCAAGCTTGATCCTAATTTCTCTCTTCCTCTTGATGATCATTACTCTTCCTTTCAATGGCACCTCCTGCTGATGTGTTACTACAGTGATTGCATAGACTCTTCCACTGCTAGATCTCTGTGTATCTCTTCCAATTTGATATATGGAGAGTAAAAAGGAAAATAACAGGCCTTGATAATTACTCCTTAGCGCGTGAAATTTTGTCCCGACTCTAAAGACACTATAAAACTGTAGCTCAAATTCCTGCAAAGGTAACGCTCACTCTTCTCCTGCCAGACCTCTTCATTTATCGGTCCTGGTACCACATGTGGGGGAACGTTGGAGGGATGCTGTAGCTCTGTGAGCGGGGGAGCTTGCATGCTCTGTGGGTGCATCATCTCTGTGTTAAACCTAATCCTGGTTCAGGGACAGACAGATGCAGGAGGGTGGCAAACCCACAGCTGAGAGATGCTTCTGTGGGAGCATCTTGAGCCAGGCATACCTGTTTGACAGTTTTGCTCTTTTTGCAGTCTGGGAAGGATATGAATGGTGATTGGCACGTAGTCTCTCTTCAGAATGTCTCGTTGTGAAACAACGTTGTGCAGACTCCAAGAGTTAAGGGCGATGGGTATTTGTTTTCACTTTAGGTTGATGGAGCATTTCTGTTCTGTCTGAGTGCAGACCAGCCAAATAGCATGTCCATTGAAAAGAGACAGTAAAATATGAATTTTAAAGATATAAAAGCAAAAGTCTGTGCCTTTTTTAGTACCCCAAATAACTGGTTTATTCGTTCAGGCTGAACAAGATACACTTAAATGACTCTTCTAGCAGCACTCAAACTAGTGCCTTATTTCTTGCATACTATGTGTTTCCATTCCAGTGCAAGACAGGCTTTTTTGTTTTGTTTTTCCAAGCAAATAGAATAACTTTCGGCAGTATTTTAATGTTTTTCTGCTAGGATAAATTTGCTCATGCTGTGGATGCCTCTTCTGCAATCCTGGAGTCAAACTGTTCCTTTATAGATAGCTGCAGCGGAGTAAAAGGGGGAAGGTGCTCTGCAGTTACTTGGAAAAATGGTATGTTCTGATGCTTGTTGAACTCATTTCAGTAATCGGCAGGGGAGGAGAACAAATCTCACGGATTCAGGCAGAGTCTGGCTGCAAAATTCAAATTGCTCCAGGTAAGAGCCTCTTTGTATGGCGGGTGAACAGGTTTTAATGTTGAAGGATGTTGCGTCCATTAGATCAGGTGCCTTGCCATGCTCATGGCGTGTTATCGCCGTTAACAACTGGTACATACTAGGCTAACGTGCGTGGGAGAGCTGGTGTGGGGCTGACCTCCCGACTAGCACAGCAAACAGGTTTGTCAGGTGGTTTGGGGAATGAAGCAGTTAAGGAACTGTCTTTAACCAACAGATGGGTACAGTGCAAACGGACAATCCATGTTGTACTTAGACCTGAAATTGCAGCTGTTGAGTTTTCTCCTGGTGGTACCACTTTGCTCAGCTCTGCGGTTTGTCTCTGGTTAGTCTGGTCAGCTCCAGCTCCTGGCAGAAGATGTTTCAGGAGGGTGGCAGCAGCTCTTCGTACAACTCACCTTGCATCGAAAAAATGGGACCATCCGTTTGTTCTGTGCTAGCACCTATTTGCTTTGGGGAAGACTGTACTACGGTGCTGTACAGGAAACTGTTGATGAATGTAATCTAAGTTCTTACCCCTCCCTTTAATTGGTGGGGAAGGTTTTAAAAGAATGCAGACATCCAGCAAATAATTTAAAATATGTTGACCCTGGATGTCTTTGAATTCATTAACATGCTCTGTGTGCCTGTGTGCGGGGGGGGGGGCAGTGCTTCCATTAGTGCTTGATAGTTACTGAAACAGCTGCCATTTTTTTACTTCCATGTATTAAACATTTCCTTCTTGTTTCCTTTGTAGACAGTGGTGGGATGCCCGAGAGGCCCTGTGTACTCACTGGGACGCCAGAGAGCATTGAGTGAGTTCTGATTTCATTTCTCTCCTTTCTCCTTCTCTCTCTTCTCCCTAATGCTGTGCTCTGTCAGTGGTGCTACTTGATTAGCCACACCAGCAAATGTTGGCCTAGAGAAACTTGAGGGTCTCTGGAGCATAGAACCTCTTGGTCTGATGCTTGAAACTGTGCACCTCAAAGGCTTTTTTCCAGTTGCAGTTTGAACCCTCTGCAGAAATTTCCGTGGAATTCCCCTCCGCAGGGCAAGGTTGCTCTTAGGGCACCTAGGATGCAGTTTTCTAACTGCAGCTTTCCAGGATACTGAGCTAAGCTGTTGAAGGGCACTTCTCTTCTCCCCTTCGCTTCCCATACTCCTATTGAGATGACCATCCTTCCAGCTGAAGAAGGGCTGCATGAGGCCTCCAAAGCCTGTCGGTGCCACTCCAGAATAATCTGGAGGTGTTGGTGTTGTTGCAGAGCAGCATGAGGCCCATGGGTGTCCTTGCCTCTGCATTGCTGCCAACAAGAAGCAAAGGACTGAACCAAAGTTTTGAATTCTGATCCCTGCATGGTAGAGACACGTGGCCAGCCAGCAGGGGTTTCTACTCTTTAGACCTATAGAAACTTTAGGGACAGTGTTTCCTCCCTCCCCCTTCCCAGGAGCTGAGTTTGAGACTCTCACAAACCAGTTGAGGACCTCCTGCTGGAACTGGATCCAGGATCCTCAGGCTTACAGGAACACACTTAACATATGGAGCTGCTCTTTCTCTCCCCAGCCTTTGGGTAGGTGGGTTTTTTAAAATCCATCTGGAAATCTTTGAGTTGCATTTGGTAGTGAAAATACATGGGCGCAAAGACTGTCTCTCTAAAGAGAAGACACTCATCATTCTTCCATTCCTAAGAGATCTAAGGGTACTGAAATCTCCTTATTCTACCATAATACTGCAAGCAGTGAGCCAGAATAAATATAATTGGCAAGCTCACATTATAGGGCAGGCAATATATTCTTGCTGATATTGAAGTGCTTTTCCCCCTTTAGCAGAGGATATTTCAGAACAAGAGCAAAATACTAAAAAGCTGGGATGCCTGATGAGATGCAGTTGGGGGAAAATGGGGGAGAGGTATAGTTAAGTCTTCATGATTCTGAAATAAGCAGTTAAATGTAGTCATGTCCAAGGCTGTCTTTAAATAAAATATAAATAATATAGTTAAGTTCATGATTCTGAAATAAGCAGTTAAATGTAGTCATGTCCAAGGCTGTCTTTAAATAAAAAAAAGCTCAATTTGTGAAGCAGAACAATGTGTTGAGGACATGGAAACATGGAAAATTTAATTTACTTTTGTGCTAAAATTCTTGTCAAGTTGGTTGTTTGAACTATTTTTTCAGGCTACTTGTAGAAAAAGAAAATGAAGTAAGGAAACCAATCTAGGTGTCAGACTTCTTTGTGAAGGGTTTTGTGAGGAGTGTTTGCATTAGTTATATCCAGTGGCAAACTAATAGGGTTAACTTCCAAATGACCCCTTCTCCTCTGAAATATGTTGCGTATTAACTGTTGTAGTCTCTATAATGTCACTAAAAGAACTTTATGCAAAATATGAAGGTAGATGAATAAAACCTCTTAAGACTCTTCCAGAATATTTGAAGCGGGCTTCCAGAAATTCCACCTTTTGCCTTGTTTTGTGAGAAAGTCAAGAGAAAGCAGTGCTCTGATCTGTGTGCAGTCTCAGATCACCACCCCCTGAGCTGTCTTGGGTGAATGTCTGCTTGCAAGGGATGACTTTGTACTGTTTCTTCAAATCGCCAGAGAGAGGACAGTCCTCCTAGGGTGCCTGATACAGCTTGGCGTGAAGTGGAGAGAGGGGAAAACGCTGTTTTAGACTGAATAGGGAACCGGTGACTTTCTTCTACCTACTTCGAGAAGGGTTGTGGGAGAAGGGCTGTGGGGAAGGGCAGGAAAGGGATGTGTTGGTACTAGGAGTCTTCAAGATGAAGGGAAACCTCTGACACGCTAAAGATTTTAGAGAAGGGATCTTTAATCTCCCAAATGCTTCTTTGTATGTCTCTTCTCACCAGGAGTAGAACCACCCAGTCTTTCACTGGTTGCTGCTGCAGTATCCTTGCCCTTGCTTCGCGGTGTAGCTTCAGCACCTGCTGCTCGGGGCAGAGGCTGTGTTAGAACAGTGTTCTGGTGCTGCTGGTAAGAGCAGGCAGAGAAGAGCAGGGCAGTCGCCTGTGACTGATCGGAGAGTGGTTAGCCAATGTGCTGTGTTAGTATCGGAGCAGTGTGTGTTTTTTGTCGTGACCAAGAATGAGAACAGAGCTTGAGTTTTACCAAATATCGTATATATGTTAAAAAAGTTCAGAGAAGTTTAGAACCTAGAGCATCTTCATTCAAAATAAGCACCCCAAATGCTATAGCTCAACTATTATCCTTAACTTCCAAAGAGGTCAGAGCATGCTGCTGCTCTTCCTTCTCTCTTCCCCTTTCAAAAATCAAACTGCTTATAAGTAATCATGATAGGGGAAAACATACATCAAAGAGTTTAAAAAAAAAAAAGAAAAAAAGCAAACATTGTGCTAACTATAGTTTCCTCCATCTTTTCACTTCTTCTCCTCTCCCCAATTGCTTCCCATTCCGATGGTTCCTGGTCTCTTGGTCACGTGGAACAATGTTGTCTAATGGTTGTTTCCCTCGATTCTTTTCCAAAGACAAGCAAAACGGCTACTGGGGCAGATTGTAGATCGCTGTCGGAACGGACCTGGTTTTCACAACGATGTTGATGGCAACAGTACGATTCAGGAGATTTTGATCCCGGCATCCAAAGTGGGTCTAGTCATCGGCAAAGGAGGTGAAACAATAAAACAGTTGCAGGTGCGCAAGATGCATTTACTTTAGGGCTCTCTTCCCTACTGCAGCTTCTCTAGATCAACAAGAGCGTGCTGAAATGGAGAGCCTTAAATGCTCTAACCTTCTACAGCAGGGACTACTCTTCTGCCTTCGGAGGGCTGGACTCAAATCCAATCTTGTGTTACAAACAAAATCGGTTTGGCCCCAGCTACGCACGTAGTGGAGTTTTGCCAGAACTGTGAAAGAAACTAGTGTGCTTTAGATAACATTTGGTGCGTGCTGTTTAGGAGGGGATTCTTGTAGCCAAGAAAAGGCTATGTCTAGTCTGCTGCTGCAAAAGTTTTTAATGCCCGCCATGCTGTTGGAGAGTGCTGTGCTTCTCTTTTGTTGCTGATCTGTGATAAAGCTGGTGTGTCATCTTTTTTTTTTTTCCTCATCCCACCCCTTTCTAATTAAGTGTTGTGTTATGTATAAGTCTATGTTCCTAGACTCTCTTTATTCCTCCATCCGGTACAAGTTTTTTAAAGAATAGAGGGTTTCAGAAAAGCACCTAGGTCAAAAATGTAGGGTTTTGAGTGCCCTGATTAGGCCTCTGTCATCTAATAGTTATAAGGGTGGTCGCTTAATAACTATTATATGCAGACAGCTACAGATTTTGGAAGGGGCTGAAAAATCAGTTGTTGAGGTAGAGGGATTTTCTTTTTGCAAGGGATTTGGCTGTTTGAGAACTTCAGGAATAGCACACTTTCTGGCAGTCCTTTACACTCTACGACTATTACTGAAATTGTGCTATAAGTACCCGTGAAGAGCTAAAGTAGCATTCTGTAAAGCTGCTGATTTGACCTACGTAATGTTTAGTGACCAAAATATAGTCCCTTGTTTTAGGGACTCTGCTTAGCAAAGTGCTCTGTGCTTTTTCTTCAGGAGCGAACAGGTGTGAAAATGATTATGATCCAAGATGGTCCGTTACCTACTGGAGCAGATAAACCTCTCCGTATTACTGGAGATGCATTTAAAGTGCAGGTATGTAATAAAAGTAAGCATTTGCCCCAGAGAACTGAGGAGAAATTTAAACTAGCATATTTGTGAGCATCTAATGGAGTTGAATCCAACTGTAAATGTAATGATCCTTGCTGGTTTTGTTTGTTCTGTAAGGTTGAAGTTTGAGTAGAGCAAGCTAAAACACTAGACTAGCAAGTGTTATGCTGTAAACAAGCCAACCTAAGAGATCTCACTTCACATAGATATTAGACATGGGTAGGAGAAGAGCTGACGAGAAGAGCTTTCCAGTCCATGAAGCAAAAATCATAGCTATATGTTACTTGAGCAAATGGGTTCTTAGTGACTAACTTAATCACACATTTGAGAAAGTGTTGTGGAAGGTTCATTATCTCAGACAGCCAATTGACGCAGGTAATTAAAACAAAACAAAACAAAAACAAACAAACCATGACAACTCCTGAAACCAAGGGGTTTGCTTAATATTGGTACCTCGGTCTCCTTGTGTCAGGGTTCTACAGATGTGTTCATACCTGCGGTTCAAAGCAAAAACCCATGATCAGCCAGAGACTGGAAGATTGCAGTGTGATGGGAATGCTTGAATTAAAGAATTAAAGTTTAGCTATGGCATGTTCCACTTCTCAGCAAGTGCTTTTCATACCTTGCTAAGTACTTAAATCTAGCTTAGCATTCCTGGCTCTAATAAAAATAGTTCTGTTTCATAGGACCTCCCTAATCATAAATTGCTCCAACAGTTGATGTTGTTCAGGGATAGTATGTTTGGGTTGTATTTTTCAAACCTCTTATTGCAAGTGGGCTTTTAGATTTAAATGTGGGGGTTTGTTGGTTTGGGGTTTTTTGGTTTTGTTTTTTTTTTTCCAAAATTCTTATACTTATTGTGGAGGTATAGATATGCAAAAAGGAGTTTAATGGCAGTATTTCTGCTTTTAACCAAATAATACTTTAAGTGCTGCTACTTCCCAGGTGGTTTCTTCTGCCTTGCAAGATTTGCTGTTGTCACATCTTCCGTGCCGTAAATCATGCCAAGCAATCATGGAGACTGCATAGGCTGGAAGATCTCTGAGGCACTTAGAAAAGTTGAGCACGCTTAGAAAGCACTTAAGAAGCTTGATGAATCCTTGGGTTTGGTGGGATTCTCTGGATGCTGCGACAGTGTTTCCTAACTCTCTCAAATTCCTTTGAAATCTCTCCATTGCCCTTATTTCTGTCTTGGCATCTCTGAAATGTCTTGAGTTGTTTCCTTCTGTAAAAAATACCATGGGGGTGTGGAGAATATGTAAAAACGTGAAAGGAGTCAGATTCACCGGTGTCCCTCAAACTTGGAAATAGAACCAAAATGTCAAAAGCTTGACTGGTAATATATAGAAACAAAGGCTTTGGTTTTGACATGTAGGCTTTTTTTTAATGGTGGCTACTGTTGGCTTATTTCCAAGGTGCACTTTTACTAGCTGGGCTACATGCAAGCTTGTGAATGGCCTTGAGGGCTGCAAGTAGGTAGGAAGAATATTCATTTGTCCCAGAAAATGTCTTGCTGGATTGCTGCAGACTTGGGCTTAACTTTTCTGAGTGTCAATAAGCTCACTGCTGCCCACTTGCCTCCTTGGTACATGCTCTCTAGCTCTTAGTGGACATGCTCTCTGCTATGCTACCACAGCTTCTACCTTACTATATTGGTTTCAGTTCTATCCAGTAGGAAAGGGCCTTCCCTTCCTTTAATTTACAAACAAAACAAAACCAAAAAAAAATCAAAGATATTTTAAAAGCTAAAGAGCCTTTTTGAAAGACTGAAGGAAGCAATTGCACACAAGAAACTGCCACCTTGCACACTGGCGGGTTTTGTCAGACATGGAAGATGCCCATCAAGAACAGATCTCCATTGACTGTGGTAAAAGAAATTCTCAATCAGAATGCTGTTTCTGTTAAGCAGATGGAGATCGCTTTGCCTGAAGCTTGACCGTTAGCCACTGTTGAGGCCCTAACACCAAGATGGCAAGCAGAATACTTTTAAGCTAACTGTAACTTCTTTCCCCATGTAGCAAGCGAGGGAAATGGTACTGGAGATCATCCGAGAGAAAGATCAGGCAGACTTCCGAGGCGTACGCAATGATTTCAGTTCTAGAATGGGAGGAGGCAGCATAGAGGTATGTTTTCTTCACGACTACTCTGCTAACCTCCCTGTGGTATGGGTAGTGGGTGGAAGTCATCAAATTGCACATGTAACCTGTAAGCTTATTTTTAAATGCATTGTGTTCTGTTGCCAGAAGAGTGAGTCTGGCTGCAAAGAAGAGGAGTTCTCATGGACTCCCAGATGGCACTTTTCTAATTGTCTTTTTAAGCCGCATTCTTGTAGCGCGGAGTTCATTTAGCGGGGAAGGAATTTGTGGCCACATGTTTGTTTTTCTTAAGTGATATGGTTCTGTAGCCTGGAGCTGCCTAACGTGGCCTGTCCTCATAGTTAAGCACATCTCCTTGTAAAATCAGAGTAATTCAGTCTAGTTCTCTGAGCTTTCATACTGCTTTGCCTTTCCCATCAGGTCTCTGTGCCCAGGTTTGCTGTTGGAATTGTGATAGGAAGAAATGGAGAAATGATCAAAAAGATTCAGAATGATGCTGGAGTTAGGATTCAATTTAAACCAGGTTTGTGCGAGGATGGAGAGCTGTTACTTTCTGACCAGTGCTCCAGTTTGGGATTGCTAAAGTGGATCTGATCTGAGGTTACAGCAGCTAGGCTATCCTAGTTTAAAGGTGCATTTTGTCTCTTTCTGAAACCTGTTTAAATAAGATGTGCTGCTTCCTTGTGCACTTTCTGGTTTTCAGAGAGTAAGATTTTATACAGCTCATTTGCAAACATTAGATGTCACAACAATCATGTCTTGAGTGGTAATTATATGGATAAACAAAACAACAATAACAAAAAACCTTTTATTTTCTGTTAAAGAATTCTCCTTCAGGACATTAAAGCCTTTGGGGATCAGGAGTTGATTAATTCTAAGTAACTTTCTCTGGGTCCTTGGCTGTCTGATCACCTATCAAAGCTGCCTTTGTCCTCTTAAAGTTATATCAGTCTCTTTCATTGCTTTTTGACATTTGAAAGTGTTGCCTTTTGAATGTTGTTCCCTCTGCAATGTGGGTTGGGTTTTGTCTTTCAGTCCATGGAAGAGGGGCTGAAGGTGGAGGGAAGAGGTAGCTCTTGGGTAGTTATGTGAAAATGCTGCTAGCAACGGTGGTGCTAGAAGGAAGCTTTTGTCGGTGGGTGGATGTTTTCTCCTTTTAATTTAGTCTTTGCCACCTCTCTTCACAGATGATGGGATTAGTTCTGAAAGAGTCGCACAGGTCATGGGGCTTCCTGATAGGTGTCAACACGCAGCACACATCATCAGTGAGCTCATTCTCACAGCACAGGTGGGTTCTGGAGGCTCTTGGGAGGAAAGAGCTTATATGAGAATGTAGTCTGCATGCATGCAGCTGTGTGGATGGATGCCACCATCTGAAGAAAGCGGTGTTAAATTTTCCCTCTGGTAGGCCACACATCCTGCTGCCCAGGACAGAGCCGCTAGGTTTGGGTTTTGCTTATTTGGTTATTTTAATGTGATATGGGCTGACTGAGCAATGGGAAGGTCTCCTATTCTCAGGCAGTATTATGAGGCCTCATTGTAGCTCCACGTTTACCCCCTGTGTTTAGTTGTTCTTATGTTATTTGGAAATGGTGACCTGGTGGAACAGAGTCCAGCAGTAGCGTGAGACATGACTGGAGGCTCTGCTCAGTAGGGCTGAGTAGCGCTTAGACAGCAGAGCATTAACAGTGCTCAGCGATGCCTCCTCTTCAGACTCCAGTCCTCTGGTCTAGTGGCTGTGGGAGGCAGGGGAAGGCAACGAATGCTCACGTATGCGGTCACTGTGCTCTAAGAAAGACACCAACGTATTGCATTGCCCAAGAGCAAGAAGTACAAAGATGGGTGAAGTAGTAGGGCAGACTCGTGAAAGAGGTTGTATATTCCCTTTGTATTATGAGAAGTAAAGATGTTAGGCCATTCCAGAGCAGATACCTGAGCATAATTTGTCCATCAAGGGTAGGTCTTGATATCTCTTCTTGCCCTGAGATCTGGTTTGAACACTTGATTTCATAATTTTTTTAATAATCCACTTAAATTTTGAGGTCTGTCATGATAGCCTCTGACTGCCCGTGGCCTTTGCTTTTGGAGAAATCAGTTACTCAAAATAGGTATGTCCTTCCAGGTGTCTTTGAACTTAAAAGCTTCCTTTGGAAGTTTTGGAAAATGTGCATTTCAGCTGAGTAATTTCAGCAGTTCTTTAAAGAATGACACTTGAAAGGGTTTGGAAGCAACTTCTGTGTGTGTCAGTGCCAAGATCTATTGGTTGCTCTAAGGAAAGCCGCCATCACAAACTAAAAGTCATTTAGTAGCTGATGCTTGTTTATAGGTTTGTTTCAGCAGATATAAAGGCATGCATTTAAAAAATATAAATATCTTCCTGAGTCAGGAAGGCAACTGTAACCTATGTTGCTTGGCATTTCTTTAAAGTGCTTCAAAATCTTGAATGTGAAACTGAAGTCCAAGAATATCTTAATTCAGTGCCATTGATTACAGTGCAGTTTAACTTACCTTGCTTTATTTTGTTTTTAATGTGCATTGGGGCCAGAAAAAAACCACTGATACAAATTTTTTGCCTTCCAAGGAACGAGATGGCTTTGGAAGCTTGGCTGTCACCCGAGGAAGAGGTCGTGGCCGTGGGGACTGGAGTGTTGGAACACCTGGGGGCATGCAGGAGATAACCTACACAGTGCCAGCTGATAAGTGTGGTCTCGTTATAGGCAAAGGTAGGTCTGGTGACACTAAATATTAGAGCTTGCAATCTTTCTCTCTCGGGATGGTCGCGTTCTTGCTGTCTGACAGTGAGGCTTCGGAGTTTCTGTAATTGCAGGTATTTAGTGGCCGGTGAATGCAGCATAGGAATAAGCTATAAGCGCTTGTGGTTGTTTTCTTTGTGGTGCTCTCACTCATAATTGTACTCTCCAGGCCCTTGTTCACAATCTGTAAGAGAGGCCCTTCATGCAGAGCTGTCAAGTAAGCTTGTTATAACAAGCAGCTGGCTGAGAAAAGGCAGGTTCATTTGTGGATTCTTTTATAGAGAATTCGTTTAAAGGACAGTTTATCAGGGACAAGCAGAACAGTCATTTCGTCATGCTGGATTTCTGTGAGCGCCATGTGATAAAATGGAAGGTCTCTGAATGTAGTAATAACAGTAGCTGCTTCCAGCCATGTACCTGAAGTGTCTGATGAATAAAGTGAAGTAGCAGGATTTGTCTGTATCTGAGCTTGCATCTGAGCCTGTCACAGAGCAGGGTGGTGCACCTTGTCTCGCTCAGACAAGCATGTTCACTGCCATGGAGGCCCCTTGGCTGCCTTAGCCGTTGAATTTCTCCATGCTAAGGAGATGGAGAAGGAGTCATCTGGCCTTCCTCTCAAGAACCAGTACAACCCCAATACAGTTGTGAAACCAGAGCATCACCAGCAGTCTCAATTTGTCACAGAGCATGAGCTACACATCGGGTAATGGCAGTACTTAGAGTACTTAGATAGAAGAACTCTATCGCTCTGAATTATTGTGATGCTTCTGAGTTAATACACTGATGTATCAAAGGAGTTGTGTTTAATTTTTCTATTTGCTTACTTCAGAAAGGATGACATATGCTTTAACCAGTATTTAAGTAATCACAGTTGGCTTTTAGCCTCAGCAGAGGTGAGGTGACTAGAATAGGAACAGATTAGCTACAGCGGTAAAGGAGGCAGAGGCTTGAGGGCCTTGTGCCGTGTTACAGTGACATTTAGTTTCCTGCCATCCTGTTGGGAAGGAGTGAGCTTGCAATGAAATGTGTTGTGGCCTCTTTTCCCTGCTGCATCTCACTTGTTCCCTTCCATGTGTCTGGCCCCTCTTGCACCCTGAACTGCCGCATTATTGGATGACAAGGGACACAGAGACAGGACACAGGCATGTCAGCGGTGTATCTGCAATTATTTTCAGACGTTGTTCTTTGCCATAAACCTGTTCACAAATCTGAAAACTTTTTTCAATATGAAAAAACACCTGCTCTCCCCATTATGCAGAAATTGCAGAGCAATTGTGCTTGATCTTACTGAACAGTCCAGTTGGGCAAAAGATCAAGCAAAGCAAATTTTAAGCCCACAAGTGAGAGTTATATGTATGGAAAAATCAAATTATAATGAAACTTTATTGCTGTATCCATTAGTCATCTTTAATAAAGCATCAGAAAAGGTCACTTGTTGTTCAGCAGCGCACTGAAGTGGAGCATTTGTGACTACAGAGAGCACCGTGTGCTGAAAAGATAAATGCAGGTAGCGGAGTTGGATGTCCTAGCATTCAAGCGCAAGGCCTGGCACAGACTCACTGTGGGGGTGAAGGGTAGCTTTTTACCTTTGTTTCCACAACAGCAAAATAGGGATCCTTACCCGGCCAGATCAGAAGCTTTCTGGAGTGACTAATTACTAGTTGTATGGTGATTTGAGTGCTTGTAGCTTTGTAATACCACCTTGTAATCGGTGTTCTTGCAGTGCTTATGCTCTTAGTCTATTGCAGCCTTCATTTTTTGTCAAGTGAGTGATGGCTGTAGCATTGCCTTTTGGGGCCTGGACCAGGATGGATGTACTACATTCTCCTTATGTTGACGCAAGACACCTGATTCTTCTTATTTCCTCTCCCACTGCCTGTGGGGCAGTGTAGGGGGAGAGGGGATGTTAGCGGTGTTTTCTTAACAGTGACCAATTGTAAAACCTCTGCTCCCCCTTTTTAGTTTCTGAGCAGTTTCCAGCTTCCCCCCCCCCCCCCCCCCCCCACCCAGGACTCGCCGTTTAGCCTTCCCCGCTCAAAAAAAAAGTACGTGTCCCCCCCCCCCCCCCCCGGTGATACAGGACTTGGCTGTTAGCCTTCTCTGTAAAATCTGGCCGAATCCTCTGGGCACGCGTAGCTTGGTCTCTGAGGCTAGCACCCAAGCAATGGGTATCTTGGGCCCCCAGGTGTAGTGTATGCCGTGTGGCCAGGTAACTCCTGCTGTGCTTCCAGCTGCATGTCACCACTCGAGAAGGGAGGAAAAGAGGGAGATGAGGAAGTTCCTCAGTTTCCTCAGTTTCTGCAGCGTATATGATAGAAGATCTAGGGCCCTTTTCTCCTGGGCATCACTTCTCAGCTTGGGAGCGTGAGCCTTTATGAGCTGATAAGAAGCGCTCCGCTCCCTGCAAATCCTGTATGTAGCTTTTTCCTCTAGAGGGTGGGTAGGTGCAGCTTTTCTTTTCTGAAAGACTCAAGGGTGGAGACGAGCGCCATACACGTCAAGCGCTTTCTCTGTTTGGTGGTGCTTGGAAACAAACTGCAGCCTCTCTGGGCCCCCGCTGGATTTCCATGATAAATACAGCAATATTGACAGATAACGTGGCCGGCCTGGCTCTTGTCAGCTCTGCCTTTTAGCAGGTTTGATTAATTGCTTTACGATTTCACGTCCAGCTGGGGGGCCACTCTTGGATCACTTCTGCCCCCCATCAGGTAGAAGAATGGAGCGGTCTGCTGAATGCGTCTATAGACAGCCACCATGTGCCGAGCGGGTCACCTCATTATGGGGGAAGATGAACTCCTTCCGGCACCGTGCAGCATCATGTTGACCGCGTCACTTCATTTGCATGCTCTGGAGGCTGAATTGGGATAGCTTGGATGGGAGGGAGCTCTTTGGCATGTACCAGACTGGAGGGTAAGGAGGAGAAGGGCACCAAGTCCTGGCACGGGGGGTGGGAGCTTACAGCCTCTGACCAAACCTGGAGAGCCAACTAACTTGATCCTGCAGTATGGTCTAGGAGGGACCTGATGCGGGAACAGTCCCAACAACTACAAACTTGGTGCTGAATGCTAAATGGGGAAATTATTTGAAATCTGTATTCTCCTTGATTCCAGTTTGAGAATGCTTCAATTTTTAATCCCCTTTTGGAAGGAGAAACCTAGTCTGCTGTGTGAGTAGCAACCTATGGTTATGCCTCTGCCGCCCAATAAAGGAGTTCTCCCACTCCTTCGTGATCCAAATTGTGTTGGCTGAAAGGGCCCTCTGTTTTCATTAAGTAGATGAAATGGCTGTTGATTCAGATCTCACCTCAATATGTAAAAACCAGAGCTTCAAACAAGTCTGCATCAGACAAAAGCATTACATAAAAAAAACTTATTGGTTTTGAAACTTCATCTTACCGCTTTCCCATGCTTCACTGAAAATAAGTGACTTGGCTTTTGGCTGCACAGTACAATCCCTGTTGTCTGCCCAGGGATGTGACACGATTATCTTTTGTTAAATGCATCTTCAAAAATTCATTTAGAAAGAGTTAATTGCCCTTTGGCAACTTTTCCTCCTCCCTTCCCCAAGAAGGCTTTAAAATGTTAAAAAGGTCACGAGTCCATTACAATGAAATGAACAAGTGTCTGCAACATCCACAGTTTGTTTTGAAGTTGTGCTGGATGTATAGAGATGGAAATGCGAGCAAAATTGAGGAGATCATTTTTGGACACTCTTTTTAATTAAAACCAAACAAAAATCTCCGGTTACTTTCCTTTGCTCTTTTTCCTGCTTGCTGTATGTCCTTTTGGCTGGTGATTTTTGGTTTGTGATTTAAAAGTTGTAAAACCCCTTCCCCGCACCCTTTAATTTCTCCAGTTGAGTGGAGCTGGTCTGTAAGTTGTGTGAGCTTCCAAAAGAAGAATTGAACCATTGTAACATTGGCTGAGGCTTTTGTTAAGCAAATTTCATTAAGAGACTGAGACCTAGCAGGTCTTCGGGAAACCAGATCCACTTTGGCTGGCCCTGCCGCATCCTGCTCGAAGTACTCCTGTGCTCTAGTGCATCCAGATGGCAAACTAGCCAGATATGTTCACTGCATGCACAACTAACTCTGAAATAGCGGAAGACAGCCTGGAATCCTGTGCTGCTGCGGTTGTGTGGAGGGATGCGTACGCTGCGGTGTGAATAGGAAGCGCGGTAAGCGGAGGCTTCTTTAAGGGAATAAGCTATTGAACAGCACATGATTGTGAGAAAGCTTAAGCTTTGTTTTTAAGCTACAAGGTATGTGGCTGGTGGCTTTTTGCCTTAGTGGAATGAAATGTCTAGCAATGGGGAAGGAAAAACAAAGCCTCATGGAGGAAAGAAAAAGCATGTTTTAGTTGCAGGTGACTTTCTTCTCTTGAGGATTGTGAACAGCTGTGCAAAACCACCAGAATTCAGTCAGTACAGTTTTTGCATCTGGTTTGTCAAAGTATATCTCAGCCATGCTGCGTTTTGTTGGGAGCCTAGCAATGTGCACACAGGGGGACCGTGTGTATTCTTAAAACAGCACCATCCATGACCCCAAAAACGGTTGCAGTAGCTCACGGTTTCAGGTCATGCCTATGAAGCAGTATAAAGGAGCAACACGAGCTCAGGTACTATGGTTTCTTATGCTGTTGCCATCCTCAGCCCGCTTCCCTTGAGGCACGCAGAAGGTAGTTAAAACTATATTCCATTACCAGAACCTGACTTCGATAGGCTTTTACAGAAAGAGATGCTGAATATCCCTCCTTATGTCTTGGTTTTCTTTTCTTCAGGTGGTGAGAACATCAAGAGCATAAATCAGCAATCGGGAGCCCATGTGGAGCTCCAGAGAAACCCACCTCCAAACACAGACCCTGGTGTACGAATATTCACAATCAGAGGAGTTCCCCAGCAAATTGAACTCGCTAGACATCTCATAGATGAGAAAGTTGGTGTAAGTTCCATCTCTGTTGATCTTGGTCTGTCTCTTTCAGATGTGGTGTTTTCACTCTTAGGTACATGTAGGCCTGGACTTACAGGATGGCACAGAATACACACACTTAATGTTATTTAGCTTCAAAACCATTTGCCTGTTAGCAGCTGCCTTGAACTTTGGCCCTCCAGCATCCATTGGAGTAATTTTTGCTGTGGTCCCAGAAGGATCTGACTGTTTGCTGACATAATCAAGGGTAGTGTGCAGCTGTTATGAGAGGGAAGAACAGCAATAATAAGGTATGAGAAGGCTGTCAAAGGAGATTTTTTGAAGGAAAGACAATAGTGTCACTGCGTGAGAAATGACACAATCCTGGCATCATCATCCTGAAAGTAACACTCACCTCCTTGCTCCAATAAATCCAGGATGACTTTTATCTTCCACTTAATGCAGTGCTGTAGTATTGAAGCTTAATGTCAGGCTGGAGTACGACTGAAGGGGGAGACATGGGTAAAAAAAAAAAGTATGGAAAATACTGAACTGGGTAAGGTAAAGCTGAAAAGCAACCTTTATGCTGAATGGCCTGAGAGGAGAAGGCTTGATACCAACCTCAGGATCCAAGCTATTCAAAGGAAAACTTCCAACTGTGCCGTCTACTTTACAAGGCAGCTCCCGTTAGCCCCTTTGTGGGCTGGCCGGAGTTGCTTTTGAAGCTGGGCTCCTGGAGTGTGCTGACAGTCCTGAGAACTTCGTCCTTGGAGAATCAGTCACTTCTTTCAGATGCTGGGGTTTAGTGGAACATGTCCCAGGCTGTCTTCTCCCCTTTCTTACTGCTCATACTAGCTGCCTCCACCCTGTGCTTAGAGCTGGCATTAAATATTTGTGGATTCTGTGACAGGGTACCAGCATGGGTGGACCTGGAGGATTTGGTCAAAGTCCGTTCAGCCAAGCACCCGCTACACCTCATCAAAAGTAAGCTTCTCCATCTCATCATGGACGGGCTGTGGGGAATGGCTGGGAGCTATAAAAGCGCTGGGAGAAGGGTGGAGGGCCTTGAAGGGGTGACGTGTAAGTGGAGCCTTTTAAAGAGTGAGCATTCAGAAGCAAGAAGCAAGTGAGATTAATCCTTTAAGCTTGACTACAGGAAGGATTTTAGGTATTATAAACAAGGCAGGTATTGGCATCTCCAAAATTCCTGTCTCTAGTGCAGTGAGAGCATGGAAAGAAGCCTGAACTGCATACAGCACAAGGAGAGCTGGTCAGTATGATGTGTCTTCGTCTTAGCTTCATAAATAGACCAATATCAAGCAGTCACACCTACACAGCATTTCCTTTTGTTCCCATGTTCACCTGTTAGCTCAGCAGTTGCTGACCAAAGTAACAATTTTGCTTCTGTGGGCAACTTCATGTATACGGCCTGTTTAAATATTTGATTGTCTACTTCAGCGTGCCTTTTTGTCCTCTGCAGTGGTCCTCAGGCGTTCATGACGCAGGGTTGGGGCAGTACCTACCAGACGTGGCAGCAGCCTGGACAGCAAGTCCCAAGTAAGTGTCTAGGACCTGGGTTGGAAAAGGGTTGGTGTTCCCTCTGCAATTGCTGCTTCGTGCCTGCAAAACACAGGTTCACCCGCGAGACCGCTTGTGTGAAAACAGCAAAATAATTTCCTGAGCAGCAGAGGTGTGTGGAGGCATGCTGTGGTGTTTGAGCCCAGAATAAGCTGACGTCCATCAAAAACTGTGATGCTTTTTGTGCACTTAACTGCTTACTGCTTGTTTCTGCTCTCTGTGTGTGGAAACTCTGGTCCTTGCTGTCTGTTCCTAACAAACGTTTCTGCCTTAGGCTCTCTTCTGCCAGGATTCCCCAGGCAAGCATTTGCCAACCCAACCCCAACTTCCCCCTAAGAGGCACACCATGTCTGGTGGTGAGCCCTCCCATCTCTTTGTTCTTGACCTTACCAGTTCTTGCTTATTTTCTTTTTTAAATGTTCCTTATGAGCTCTTCTCACTACTTAACTCCCAGTCTGATGGAAGGACTGGGAAAGGAGATGCAGAAAATGGAAGAAAGGATAGTCAGGGCTTCTATCCTGGTTCATACACACTGGCTGCAGTGGTGTCCCCTTGTCTCCTTTTGGGAGTTGATGAGAACTGCTCAGCCTCCACAGTGCTAAATGCTCGGAATGAGGCCGGTGAGATAACCAGCTTTCAAATAAATTAAAAAAAAAAAAGTGCACACATGTCCTTAGTCATGAGTTCAAAAACTGAACCCAGATCACCCCTGCTGCTGGGCTTTCCACTTCAAGCCACCAGCACTGAGTTAGGCTGGGTGTAATTTTTCAGGGTTCGAAGTGGCATTTCTTCCTAAAACCCTGTTTAGTCAAAATTCAGCAGGTTGGAATGGGGAGTCCCCCTTTTCAGAATAACAGGTAGTAAACACTAGTGGTGATGTTGGTAACTGCATCATCCTGTGTCTTCAATAGCCAGAGTAATGGTTTGCCCTAAACAGAGCAGATTCACAGTCCGCTTGGTAATCTTAAAGCTGATGTCTATTGGACATTACTGCCCATCACACTGTTCAATCACAATTTTTTGGGAATTACAACTTTTTTAATGGCCTGGTCTTGTGAAAACTAAAGCTAAGCACCAAAAGGGGGGGGCAGGCGTAATTTTAAAGGGGTTTAATGACAGGTACTTTTCAGTGCTAAGGCTGATTTGGCAATGAAGTAGATCATTAACTTCCGTATAAATTCCCACTCTGAGGTGCCTGAGGTAGAGGAAATGTTGGAGGAGCAACGCCTGCAATTGCACTTGTGATTCCCTGTAACACAAATCACATTTTAATGTTTATGAAATTGTGCAGATATGAAATTTGGAAATCCTCAGTGCTGCATTGTTAACTTAGTGCACTTCTAAAATGTGCGCTACAGTAGGACATAGGAACCCTGCATGCGAAGTGTGTGTTAAACTCTAAAAAAAATGCCTCTGGAAGAGTCCTGCTCCTTAACAATTACAGTCTAAAAATCATGACTTTTCCTTTGAGCTCTAGGGACTTGTAGAAGGTCAATAGTTGTTCTGTTTTCAGGACAGCAAAATGCAACGGTGGGCTTGAAAGGACTTTTTTTGTACAGGAGTGGAATAGTATGGTACTGAAGAGTATTTTCCCATTAGCCTGTTTTACAGGAAAAATTGTTACTCCAGTCCTTTCCTGTGCACCCCCAAGAGCACTGGACTTCCCTGAGGTTTGGGAAACAGAACAGTCAGTGCAGCAGGGAAAGCTCTACAAAAAGTGTCATTTTTATCTTCCCATAAAGCCTTTGAATAAATGCTTATGAAATGTGCATTGCTATTTGCCTTGCAAGATGCCTTTAGAAACTCACCTTAGTAACTTATCTTTTTTTCTCGCCTCGCTGAAACATCCTCTTATCCTGGCCGCCAGCTGCTGGGGGGGCGGGGGGGAATCTCCCTTCCTGCGACGTATAGTCATGTCTCAAACTCGCACCTCCTGGCTTTGGAGCCTGGTATAAGAAGCACAGACCCTTTGAATTCCCTGATTACTGATAGTACAGCTTGTATCCCAATGACGGCTGCTTTGCAGTGAGTTTGCCAGGTTTCTGGTGGCTCCCAAGAGCAGTGAAGCATCCTTCCTTGCCATTATCCTTTCCCTGTATGGGTTTAATACCACAAGGCTGTGTTTTGGGGGCCGATGTTTTATTTCTGCTGTTGAACCTGATGGAAAATGTTGGCTCTCTAGTTCCATGTCTACTTAGGATCCTTCGTGTTCCTGTTTGTAGCCAGGCATACTGAAGGCAGTCTTGGTAAGGAGAGAGGACAGACAAGATAATGCTGTGCTTTAAGCAGCCTTCACCGCTTTCTTCTGCTGCAGATCACAATGGTACCCAGTCAGGCCAGGTGGAGTTCACCAAGGCGTGGGAGGATTATTATAAGAAACTAGGTAAATACCTGCTTTTGCACTTTAAGTTTTAATTTAAAAACAGTCTTGTGAAGGGTCCCTTCCCCGAGTGCTGCAGCCCGTTTGTTCGTGGCTCTGCTAGTCCTGTCAAAGAGCCGGCTGAGTCGTTCTCCAAGCAGGCTTCCTAGGGACAGACTTGAGAGTGCCCTCCTTGTGGGAGGAGGGGCAGACCCCCACCCCCTACACATGTATTTAGATTTTAATTACTTCCCCCATCTTAAATAAATTAACTGGCTGGGGAAACATTTTGCTGTGAAATGCATTTAGCTGCGTGTCCTTTCAGCCTGCTGCGGACTGTATTCTCCTAGAAGAAAAGGCATTGAAGGAGGTCCTTTGTTGGCATTAGCAGGTGGACAGTTGAGGCAGCCTTGACCTCTGCCAGAAAAGGTCCTGACTTGTAGCGTTGGTCAAGTCTTTTAACCCGCTTTCATGCCCCTGGACAGGACACTGCTGCCCTGTTCCCTCCACCCACTTCACACTTGCAGTGTATTATATTCCCCCTTCCCACCACTTCAAAGCCCCCCTTCGGCCGGCGTCGCAGGGCAGGGCTGTACATGGAGCGCAGGCGGTTGGACGGGCTGGGGAGAGCTCTCCTCCACGCGTGTCTCCTGTCCTTGCCTGCCGTCCGTGTGTGCAGCGGCTCGTGCTCAGCACTCAGGCTCTCGCTGTGCCTGCCTCTCTCTGCAGTTTTCTAATTGCTGTGTTTTCTGTTCAGGGCTTTTTTTTTATTTGCTGTGTGTCTGGCTGAGGGCTCTTTGCTCTAACTGTGACTAAGGGAAGTGCGGGCATCCCGCCTCTGCACCCAGCTGGCTGCACTCTCCCCTGCAACAGCACTTATTAGACATGCTGGATTGAAGGTGTCTTAGTGCTTCAAAGAGGGGAAGTCTGTGCTAGACCAAGGTTTTGGGGTCTGCGAGGTCTCTCTCAGTGCAGGCATTGGCACCGCTTGTCTTAGTGCGCTGCAGGCGTCTGGAGACCGCGCAGCAGAGCCAGTCGTGGCTGTTAGGAGGGTGTCGTGGATGCCTCTCCGGATGGTGCGTGGGGGGATAGTGCTGAGGGCAGGTGGAGCTGGCCGTGCTTTGTGCAGGGCTCACGGCTCCCTTCAGTCCTGAGGACCCTGCAGCCGGTAGCAGTTTGGCTAGCCCGGAGCTGTGTGCTGGGGCGGGTGGTACGCTGGAGGCTCGTGTGTGGGCACGTTGTACAGATACGCATTGTCTGCCGGGGCTCCTTCAGACGTGCTCTGCTGGTGAGAGTGGGGGTGAACGACGCAGACCCCTGAAAACCAAGTGAGATGACTCAAAACACGGCCGTTTCCTTGGCAGCTCCGTGGCTGGAGGTCGAGGTGACAGGTCTCAGTTCTGTCAGGGGTTTGAACCCTCCATCCCTGTGCTAGGTGGGAGTGGACTGACAGCCTAGGGTGGTCGATGGGCAAACCGAGCAGGTCCCAGCATGGGGGAGACGTGGCTTAATGCCCTTCAACAGGGCACAGGTGAGATGAAATCAGGAACTGGAGCGTTTCCTCGGCTTTCCCTGAACTGAAGATGCCCAACGCTGTAGAAAGGTGGAAGCTGAAGTGTGAAGTCTGGGCAACTGAGATAGATCCAGGGCCTGTCTAGCAGAAAGGTAGATGTCACTGGCTGGAAACTGTCACCTGTTCCATATTGACGTGCCCCTTGTTGTCATCTTTGCACAGGCCAACAGAGCCAGCAGCAGAACAGCCATCCCGATTACAGCAAAGCATGGGAGGAGTATTTCAAAAAACAGAGTGAGTGAAACAGGGTTATTGGAGATGAATCCACTCTTGTAAACAGAGTTAACGCTAATCCGATGACTTGCGTCTCCATCCCCTGCCATTATTAGCTTCCAGTCCTCTACAAAACCCCTTTGGTCCTCTCCTGTTGGTGATGGTGCATGTAGTTCTCCCACTGAAAGCTCTCAGTCGTGCTGTCTGCTGTCGCGCCTCGGGAGGGGTGCTCCCATTGAACCGCAGTCCACAGTAGACCTCGTGTCCGCGCTGGCAGTTGGCCTGCCTGGGGGAAACGTAGCGCACAGCAGGAACTGATGCTAACAAAACCCAGAAAGCTGAAGCTGGGTTGTTGAGAGGGTAGGAGAGCTCTGCGCACGTGGAAAAACATGAGCCTGGCTTTCTCCACTCAACTGTTAAGAAGCGCATGATGCCAACTTTTGGATTTGCATTTGACACCGCGCTGCTGGAGCCTTCGGGCCAAGGATGAAGGGTGCAGGCCGTCAGACCCTGTCCCTGCAGCCGCGGGAACGGTCTCTTAACGCTTTCTGGCTGCTGTTGGCTTGTCACTTGCAAGCCAGCTCAAAGCCTGTCCTGTCGTATCCAAACAGCAGATAGCCGGTGTCGCTCTTTCAGATGTCTGCAGCTGTTGGAAGGGGGCTGGCTCTTCTTTAAGCTTTACAAAAGGAGATCCTAAGCCTGGGCTTGGTCTTACTGAATTGCTCATCTCTCCCTTTTCCCTTCTTTTCCTCCAGGTCATGCTGCCAGTGCTGCTTCTCAGGCAAGTTCCCAGCCGGACTACACGATGGCTTGGGCAGAGTATTACAGACAGCAGGCTGCCTACTATGGGCAGACACTAGGGCAGGCTCAGGCCCACAGCCAGGTCTGTATTCATGTTCCCTGAACCCCGCTGCTCTTTCCCTTGGGGAACTGGGTATGCTGGCCTTGCCCTGGTGTGGGGACTCTGCTTTGGGTTCACGTGGTGAAGCAGAGAGATTTTTGTGGCTGAGGAAGTGGTCACAGAAGTGAGAAACTGCTCACTCCTCCCCGTCGTGTTGTCTCAACGTGAGAGTCTTATTTCCCTGTACAGGGTGAGGGGTTTTTCTGGGGGAGGACTGGGAGGTTATTTGTTTCTCCTGGGGGCCTTTCCTCATAACCCCCAGGCTGTCTTGTGGCTTTGGGGAATTAAAGTAAAAGGAACGATGGAGCCAGGCTGGCGAGGTAGCACAACACTGGCCCATCGTGCAGTCCGGGACCGTGTGTGCGGACTTTGCCTTTTCCCTTGCGAGCTTTGTGCTAGGACGGGAGCCGTGCACTTGCCTGGGGAGGGAGCGCCCTGTCCTGAAAGGGAAGGGGAAACTGTTGAAAAATAACTTGGATTAACCAGCTGCCAAGTGAAATCTCACCTGTCACTCAGACCACCGGAGGGTTGTGTGGGATTTATCCTGAATCGTACCCACAGGGCTTTCCTGCGCAGGGGGTTTGCAGAGCGAATGTCTTAGTATTGGGCAAAAAAACCCACATACACCTTAGCGGGATCAGACGCTTCTCCCCACTGAATGGTGTTTTTACTCTGGCTCCTCGGAGCAGAAGCTGGTCTGGATGCAAGCGGCGCGGGCGGCCAGCACCGTCCTCAGGCAGCTGCAGCCTCCCCGCTGCCGCTCTCCGGCAGCGCCGAGGTCGAGCGGGGCGAGCCGGGTGCAGGACTCGGCGCTTGCCGCGGGCGCTGGCCAAGTGTGACCTAGAAGCGGTGATAAAAGGGAGTTCTCTTCATTCCTCTCTCAAAGTCTGGCCCTCTAGAGAAGAGAGATCTTGTTCGATAAGAGGCACGAACTCCTGGAAGGAGAGCTCAGGGATAGGAGGCGTTAGGGCAGAGATCTCTTCGATAGCGGTTTGAAGCGTCGTTTGAGGTATATATCCTGCTCGGCTGGAACGGGGAATGAGAGACCTGTCTGTGTCTGAACGGGGGAGGAGGGCTCGACAGCAAATTCCTAACGCCGCCGCTGAGTAACTTTTCCTTTTCCCCCCTCTCTCTCTAGGAGCAGTAGAACAAGGTCCTTGTGGCAATTTTTTTTTTTTCTCAGAATCATTGCGGAAGAAAACCTTTTTGTAACAGAGGTTTCTAGATTTGCAACATTTTGATGAAGACTTTTCTGTTTGTTTGTGAAACACTAGTTGTAGGATAATCTATACTGAACTTTTCTAAGAATCAGGAACGATTAGTAATGTACTAAACTTATGGACATGCTGGTAATTTTGTTTCCAAATTTGTAAAAAAAAAAAAAAAAAAAACAAAACTCCGGGATTCTTTTTGGAGAGGAGCCAGAGAATTTGCAGGCACCAAAACGCACCCCAGAGCTGTGACATTTCAACATGTGGTTTTTTGTGTGTTTTTTCCTTTTAATTTTCAATCTTTTCTGTTGCAACAGAAAGAGTGGCTTGGAAGTCTTAGGTGGTATGTAACAAATCCTAAAAAGAAAAAAAAAAAATTTAAACAGTATTTAAATATTCTTAAATATGTAAATTCATTAAATGTTTTACTTCTAACTTCTTGTATCTTGGTAGTCTTTGATTTTATTGCATTTTTTAAAAACTGAACTATGATATGTATTGTAATTAATTATGTGAATTCTGTATTGAGACAGTTACTGTTTTGCTGTCAGGCAAGTTATGGGCGGGGGGGGCATTTTGTAGGGTTTGTATAATTTCTAGAGTCTAAAGGGGTAATATAAAAACGTGTTAATTTTTTTAGCAATACATTTTTTCATGTCTCCATTGCTAGTTGCATTTATGTATCTAAGACCTCCAAGCTTGTTTAAAAAAAAAAAAAAACAAAACAAAAAAAAAGAAAAAAACTTTCCTCTATGCTCTCAGAAATATAAATACTGTTATTTTTAATATTAAAATGAATCTGCTATTAGTACCTTTAACAAACACTGTGGAACATAAAACCATATAAAAGGTAGTAACTATTTTTTAATTCCAAGGTGTTTTTTGCTTTTTCATTTCTTTTAAATATTTTCTTATCTAATATTTGTCAAATTACCTAGAGAAATAAATGAATCTAGTATTAACCACAGTATGCGCTAAATAATTTTGATTTAATAAAAGGGATAATATGATTTCCAATGTTTACTGTAGTGTTTCTTGTACAGATAACTGTATTTTTAAAGGAAAAACGGAATTGAAGCTATTTTTTCTTGCATTTTTAATTGCCCTGCGGGACATTCCGTTTTGAAATGTACTGAAGTTACTGTTCTTGGGTTCTTTCCTTATTTTTCCTTATGCTTGAAATGTCTAACTATAAAGAAACGCAATTGGATAATGTTGAGCATGGTGTTTAAAAAGAAAAAAGTGTTCTTTTTATTTGACTGACAGTTGCATTTTACACTCTATATAATAAAATTTCCACAAGGTGTCTTGTGGGTAAAGTATTTCCAGTCTGTTTTGCTCGGTTTGCTCCCTCTCCGCTTGCCGAGGTCGCCGCGCAGCGAGCCGGCAGCCCGCGGGCTCCCGGGTCCTCTCGCCTTCGTGCTCGCGCCGTGTCGCTTGGGTGGTAGTTTGGGATGGTCGGTGAAGTCAGCTTGAGCCTTAATTCTAGTGAAACTCTGTTAAAGCGCCTCTTGGCACCGCGACACTGAGGATTTCCACAATAAAGTGCTATAATTGTAGCTGTTTGGGCCAGAAAGCTGCTTCAAAAAAGGGAAGTTTTCTGTAAGCCAGAGGGGCACGGACCTACAATAAGGTGCTAATTGTAGCTGTTTGGGCCAGAAAGCTGCTTCAAAAAAGGGAAGTTTTCTGTAAGCCAGAGGGGCACGGACCTACAGCCGCATGAACGTTTTCTTGCTGGTCGAGGAGGCGGCAGCCCCTGGTTCTAATGCCCTGAACTTGTTGCTCTTCCACAACTTTGTCTTTGCGGCTGAATCCGTCCAGGATTCGCCCTGCGCCCTCCCTGCAAACGGGGTTGCTGGAGCAGCGCTGGCCCGGGCTGGGGGAGAGGCGCGGAGGGAGGCGGCCCTGGCCATCCTCAGCTGTTAGATATGTTAAGGAGCGGTAACTTTTAGTTGTATCCCGGCCAAGTCTGGCGATAACTCTAGCCCCTTCAGAGATCGCTTCCTTGTAAAATAGGAGTTTTGTGCTCCTCCGACCTAAAATAGCTCCATCCACCGCCCCCCAGCCAGCCGTAGGGGAGTTACAGACGGGGGAAGGGAGGGAAGGAAGAAGATCCCATCTGCAAAGCAGGGAGCGGGAGGCATGTTGAGAGCCGGAAGAAAAGGAGATGTAGCATCTCTAAATATACCTCCAGAGAATCAAGAGAGACATTGAAAGATGGGATAGTAAAAGCCACTTGGAAAGAGGGGAGAGGGGGGAAAAAATGGCTAGAGGAGGGCATAAAGGCTGCTGATGGGAATTGGGAGCGGGCATTACCGAGAAGACTTCCTTCTAATTCATCTTCCAAGCTCTGTGCCAAAACAGCATTTGGCATGGTTCACAGGGAGCAATTGTGTGATAATGAACCCTAAGGTGTCCCTTAATTGAAGACTGAGTATTACAGATTGTGCCAATAGTCGTAAATGGCACAGGATTGTGGGAGGATGCATTTTCTTAAATGTATCTGTAAGTACAGATTAGTGAGTCTCCCCAGTGAAATACCCATACTATAAATTATGGAAATATCTCTTTCTGATGCAACCTTTTATTGAGGGGGTGGGGCAGCAAAAGAAATAGTTTGCAAGCCTTTGAAATTTGGCCTGTCATTAAGATGGTGCCTGCAAAGCTGCGTTTTCATCAGCAGTCTGGTGTCCTGGAAGGCTAAAGTGCTTGAAACGTTCCCAAGTTCAGCAATTTGTTTTCCATTATTGCTGCCTGCTCGGGGCGGAGGGGCTGCAGCCATTAAACTTCTTTCTGTTGTGAGCCCACGATGGGCTGGAGAAGGGCAGGGCAGGAGGCGAAAAGACGCCTTGGCACCTCACGAGGGGCTTGGTGACCTCCGGGTTCCTCTAAACCTCGCTCCAGCCCCGCTGCCACGCTGGTCTCTGGCTGGCCAGGGGGTCCTGGGGCCTGGTGCGATGGTCAATCCCGCCCCAGGGCTGGCCAGGGCACCTGGCGTTTCGCTCTGGGGTCTGTAGGCAGCTCCTCGTGGCTCCGGGCTCGGGTGTGTTGTGCAGCCCAGAAGCTGCTGTGGTGCCTTCAAGCCAAGTCTGTGGTCTCCAAGAGAGGAACCGCATCTCCTGCTCAGCTCTGGGCAGGTTTAATCCCCAAATAAAGTGGATTAAGCACTGACTGCATTAGTTTTTGTGGCAGGGAGGGTTTGTCTGCCCCTTGGGCAGAAACTGGACGCTGCAAGGAGCCGGCACGTGGGCCACGTTTGGGGCTTTGGGGTCCATGAACGGCGGTGGGGACGGCGCAGCCTTTTCCTCCTCGCAGGTGACCAGTGCCCGGCACGGGGCCATGCCCGGGTGTTAATCCTGGGGGACAGCGAGGAGCTCCCGCAAGGAGACCTTCAGTTTGGGGAACGCTCTGCCTCCAGAGCACGGCGTTTGGGGACAGAGGAACCGGAGTTAAAGGACATCCCAGGTGAGTGCCCCGGCGGGAGGTCGCCAGCCCCGGCCCGTTGGCTCCTGCTCTTTCTTATCTTTTACAAATAACGTTCCTTCCTTCAAGCACGATCCCTTTCCCGAGGCCTCGGCACAGGCACACGATGGCTTCGCTCCCCTCCCGGCATGAATCCCTCACAGTTACATTCAGCGGCGCATCTTTTGCGAGAGGGCACGGGCGTCTCGGCCCCGTGTCCCATGGGACTGCCCAGGCTGTGCGGCACCTGCCCCGCTCTTCGGGCACAGAGACTTACTTCTAAGTAGAAATTTACTGCGGTCCTTCTGCAAACCATTTCTGAGCAGCAGCCTGAAAAAGCACGTCCCTAAAGCATCTTGTTGGGTTCACGATGACCCCGATGCTCTCCTGTGCTCTACATTCGGTGTGCCTGAACAGGCAAAGGCTATTGTGGGAACAGAGGAGAGACTTTAAGATAGTCTAAAATACTTTCTTTAATTTTGCATGATTTGAGAACGAACTACATTATGGACATTGTGAGTTAAACCGCAATGATTATTGAAAGAGACAACCAGGCATGGGACTTTTTTTTTTTCTTCCCCGAGTATTAAATATTTAATTGCATTAGAGCAACAGTATATTTACAGTAAGCTGGGTGGGTGATGGACGGCGTGGTTGGAGGGAGAGCTCGTGGTGTTTAACTCGAGGCTTTTTGACACGATGTGGATGTTCGTGAGGTCCCACCTGTGCTGCTGCTTCTCCTGCAAACCCACTTGGTTCATCTCACTCTCGGGGGGATTGTCGGGGCTGTTGGTGCTTGTAGTGTTGTGGCGCGGGGCGAGGAATCGGGATCTCGCGGTGACAGGTTGTTCCTGTGCAGAGAAAGGTGTCGGGGTATCCTGTCAAGCAGCACACGGGTGTTTTATTCCTTGTAAGGAGCTGTTTAGCCGTCATTTGGCTGGTTTGGAGGTTTTTTTCCCCTGGATTAGCTGTGAGTAGCAGTGGTGCAGGGTGGCCGTCGCAGGCGGGGCATTTCTCTGCCCTCTTAGGGCTGGAAAAGACACAAAGGGAATTTGCCTTAACTTTTCACGCTGGAAATCAGCAGAAACCAGGCACTGGGAAACTGCTTACAAGAGGGACACCGGAATTAGGTGACGTGAGGATGAGTTGAAAGAGCCACAGCTCCCTGGTCCGTTGGCGAGAGGGGACAGCAGCCCCTGGAGCCGAGGGCAGCGAGCGGGCGGGTACCAAGCCCCCATCCTTGTCTCAGCGTCACCTCAGCGGGTGCTGGGGATGGAGGGAGATGGCGGGGAGGGACCAGCCACCCCTGGGATGAGGGGAACGGGGTGTCCAGGTCCACCCTGCCACCTCCCTCCAGGTCTGGGGCACCTGGTCTGAGGCAGGCGACCCGAAAGAGCATCTCTGGGGTTGACATGGGGGCAGGTACCAACAGCCCCCCCAGATTATCTTCCCACTCTGCCCCTTATCACTTGAGGAAATCCTATTTCAAGACTGCTATAAAGAAGCCTCTGATCTTCGCAGAGGCCAGCTCATTCCCCTTTAATCCCGGACGGGCCACGGTGCAGGTGCCGCGGTCCCGGGGGATTAGACGGTCCCTTCCCTTTGTGCGAGCCGTCACTCACCGGCGGCCGTGCCCCGGCCAGCCGCACCGACCGGCGGGGCTCCTTGTTTGGGCCATTCACCGGGGAATATTAAACTTCGCCGCTGTGGAGTCATTACACGGGGAGGCAGGGGCCGCCGCTCTGTTTGTTTTGGAGAGAATAGGGCTGGCAAAGGGCAGGAGCTGCGGGAGGGCTCGTCTCTCCCGCCTGCCTCCTCGGCCCCGTGGCTGGGGTCACCTGTCTGCGCAGCGGCCCGGCTCCCAGCACCCACCCCTGCCCTCCGCCACCCATCCCTGCCCTCCGCCTCGGCCGGGCACGGCCTTGCTGCCTCCAGCATGTCTGGGCTCGTCCCTCCCCTCATCCCCTGGCCCCGGGGATGCTGTCCGGCCACGGTCTGGGGAGGCTGGGCTGGACACCTTGGACCACAGTCCTGCCTGGCCTTAGCTGCCATCTCCCAACGCCGGCTCCTGCAATCCCCCCATTGCAGCCAGCCCGTGGGTACGGCAACCACTGGAGCGTGGCCCTGGCCTGGCCCTCGTGGGGAGCAGAGAGAGGGGCAGGGGGGAGTGATGGGGCTCACACATGCCCTCTCCCCTTGGGCAGCTCACCCTGCCCTGCCCTGGGCACTGGTCCTCTCTGGGCTTGTGTCTCAGTGCAGTTACTGGTGCGGGTCCCAGTCCGGCAGCTGGAGCTGCTGCTGCAGGACAGATGGCAGTGGGATGCGGGAGAGTCAGCGGTGGGATGCAGCAGAGATGGCAGTGGGACATGGGAGAGACGGCAGTGGGATGCAGGAGAGATGGTGGTGGGATGTAGGAGAGATGGTGGTGGGATGCGACTGTCCCATCCCCAGGTCACTGCCGGAGGGGAGGAAAAGGTGCAGAGATTCTCCTGCTTCTCCAGTCCAAATCCTGCCTTGCTCCCTCCTGCCGTGCTGTCGGGGAGGAGCCTCTAACAGTGGGGAGCACCTTTGGCATCCACCCTGGGTGCAGAGACCACGGAGATGAGGGCAAGCAAGCGGGGGCTGTGCCTGGCCCCACAGCCTGGCCCCGGCCTCGCCAGGAAACCCAGGGAGCACCCGGCCGCTTCGAGGAGGTTGAACTCCCCAGTGCCTCGTTCACCCCCAGCAAACACGTTTGGTCGTGGGCAGAAAAGCCATCATGAGGCTATTTTACACTTCGCGTTTCCTGGCAGCTCAGCAAGGGCCTCGCAGTGCTGGGGCTGCCTCGGCTGGTGCTGGCATCCAGCCGCCCCGTGCCACCGGCCCCGCTGCCCGAGCCACAGCCCCGTGGAGGCGGCCGAGGAGTCACCGCCATGATTTGCCACAATCATGTTTCATTTTGAGGCCGCCTGAGCCCCGCGAAGCAGTCGGACGCAGCCGGGAAGGCGCAGATGGTGGTTTTTCCTCCCCTGTTTGCTTTTGTGCATTGTGACACCCTTGCCAAAATAATCCTGGAAATACTACTTAAAAAAAAGGAAGGGAAAAAAAAAGGCAAGAAAGCAAGAGCAGAGGGGAGAGCACTCAGCATCTCTGCTCGGCTCCGCGGCCTCCCGCAGAGTGAAATGAAGGCAAATAATGCCCTAAAGCTCCTTTTCCAAGCAGTGCAATCAGCTCGCCTGGTTCAGAGGGGCTGCAGCTCTCTGCGCCAAAGCGCTCGCTGGGAGGGTCATGGCTTCACCGCCCCACCCCCCCCCGGCCCAGAGCCGCTGGGCACCCACCGAGCAGCTGGCACCGCTCCAGGGCACCCCAAACCCTCCCCACTGCTCCTGACCCCGCCGGAGGAGAGCAGGGACAAACAGGCAGCCCGCAGTTTGGAGGGGGACGAGGGTCCATTTGGCTCCATCCCGTGGATGTGGGACCTTGG